TTCTAAGCTGCTCAAGGAGGTGTTTACTTGTTTGTTTGTGTTCAGAGTTTGCCTACGGTGGACACCCGTATCCATTCTCAGGGATCTTTGAGATTACACCCGGAGATGCAACTGAACTCGGCGAAACTTTTAAGTTCAAGTAAGTAAAGAAGGTTTTCTGCTCGTATGAAAGCGCAAGCACATTTCCAAAGTGCTTGTGGGATTTTTCTGCCCTACTCCAGACAGCTTGCAACATGTCAGTGTGTCTGTTAGTTGTTTTCAGACACTTTATTAAAAGCTAAATGTCTTTTTGTGAACATGAAGCCAGCTAACGAGTCAGTTCATCAGACGGGGCACAACTCCAGAGCACAAGTCCATTGGCTTACTAACTGGTCAGTGAAGTGTAGCATCCAGGCAGTTAGTCATTCGGTTCACTCAAGATGGAGAAAATTACAATTCTAAAGTAAGTGAAGAATTTACAAACTTAAAAGTTCCTCATTTTAAAGATGTGTTGTGTACAAAATGCAGAAGTCTTTGCACCAGTTTTGTACAGACTTAAAAATAACTACATCGTGCTGTTGTTGTTTTCTCCACTCCACTAGAGCACAGAGCTATTCTGAATCATTTTGACCAAAGTTGAAATGGAGTCAGAGAAACGGTGGAGCATTAAGTCAGTTCAATATGTTTGGAGTTCCTCGGTCTACACAGAGCCACTGTGCCGCTGTGTGTTACTTCTGCTCTAGTTGATGTGCCCTGCAGCTTTAGAGACACTCTGCCTGTCAGACAAACACTAGTTGTCCCCATAGAAGCCAGCCGGCGATAAACATCTGGGACAGTTGTTTGAATATTATTGACTGAGAAGAGCCAAATAAATCAGCTCTTCTTCAGACTGCACTCTGCTCAATTCTTTTTTTATTGTTGGATTTCATGTAAAACTGGAACAGGATGTGGAAATGAGCAAAATGTTAATCCTCTATTCACTTCACTGTTCAGTTACAGAAATTTGGTCTTTTTCTTGCATTTTAGCTTACTGCCTCACAACACATTTAGCTGATTTGATGCAGTGCAGTGTGCCAAAAAGAAGAAAACATCTCAAACCCTTTTCCAGTGGGATTCAACATTGATTATTGTATTGATTCGGTAAAAAGATGTGCATTTTGTTTGCGTTTATCACCACATAAATCCAGCTTAAGCTGGCATGGGAACACGGGAAGCTCGTAAATGTTTCTTTGCATGAGACATTGTAGCAGGAAATCTGCTGATTGTGCCTGGGGTTGCTCTTGGTGTGTCCTCGATGAGTCATAGTATACACAGTCTTTCCCTGTTTGTGCAGAGAAGCCATAGTCCTGGGCAGCACAGACTTCACAGAAGAGGATGTGGAGCGGATTGTGGAGGAGATGGGAAAGGAGTACAAGGGCAACGCCTACCACCTCATGCACAAGAACTGCAACCACTTTTCCTCAGCTCTGTCCGAGGTAGATACTCACACAAGCCTGCACAGCTGTCTTTATGAGGACGTTGCACTGACTTATTAACTGTGGACAACCATAACCTGACTCAGGACACCACAAATAAAATTATTCTGCTCTAAACCTGCATTATACTTGAGCAGTGGTCATGATGTGAGCCATGTGTGACGTCACCTTAGAGGAGGAGTTGTTTAGACCGGGGTTTGAGGCGTTGCACTCAAACTGCTGTTCTCTTCTTAAACAGTAGGTGCTGCTACTACTTATGACAAAATCTGAAATGAGTTGGTCACACAGGAAGTAACTGTTCGAATTCAAACATTTTGTTTAGTTTGCTTTACTTTTTAAAAGTTAGTTTTCAAGTTTATGTCATGAATAGTAATAATTGATTTACCTTTTTTTTACTTTTGTTATTATTAACATTATTATTATTAAAATGATTAATTTGTACAGATGTAGAAATAAACTGTTTCCAGTCTTTGTATCGTTTTCTGCTGGTCGTAACCCATCCCAAGTGGTGCCTTGTTAAAAAAAATATTTTTTTAAGTATAATTTTAGAACTGATTAAAACTCTGCAGCATAGAAAGTTTATTATTTTGCTTCGTTCATCCCTTGTGTTCTTCTTAACCACTGCATATTTTGCACACTAATCTGAACTCTGGCACTACAACATGTTGGGAGAACGCTGTACCTTTATGGGGAAATTTTACTGACAAAATTAATTTGAAAATTATTTTATCTCACACAGTCAGTCTGGCTCACTCCGTCACACTGTATACAAACTGAATATTGTCACTTAAATGAACTAATGTTGCGCATCTCATGTCTGAAAAGAGCGTGCCTTATTTTTGTCTTTAACTCTGGATGTGAATGCTTGAACTAGTGCTTTGTGTGTGTGTGTGTGTGTGTGTGTGTGGCCTCCAATCAGCTTATGCTGCAGTGACTAATGAGCAGGGAGTCTTACGGTTAGCATCCAGCGCTCAGATGGGATTTAGGACACCGATACAAGCCCAGACATGCAAAGCCAGCTGGCAAACCCCCACTCAACACTGATACACTGAAACAGTATCATTGTTATTATTGAGCATGCATCAGGATACTGAAACAGTACATTAAGTTACACATACATAAACACAAACTGTGTTACGCAATTATTCAAAGTACATTTTTAACCACATATTTGAAACTCCGTGTGCACAGAGAGTGATCAATAGCTTGAGGATTTAACGTTAATGTAACCCAATGACGTGGCAGAGAGGCAAGTAGAAAACGGACAAACACAAGGATGTTTGTAGCTGATTTAAAAGAACGAGAGTAACGATTGATTCTCCATCTGGAACATTTGATGTCCATCACCTTTTTCACAGTGAATCAGTGCTCTGTATCCAGTGCACACCTCACTTCAGCTCATTGTACAAGTCCGTTATCTGCACACACATCGGAGTACTTCTGTTGATCTTAGACAACGAAAAATAAACACAAATTCAGGAATTAAAGAAACGCTAAATCTAGGATATTTTATTTAAAAATTAGAGCATCTTTTAAAGAGAGGAACATTTTAGCACATTTGATACTGAAATTTTTGTATTAACATAACTTACTTTTACTGATCCCGTAACTGTAGTCCAGTTTAAGACTGGACAAGCATGCCAACAAATAAATATTTAAATCATAAGTAACTAACCAGAAATGACAATCTCAGTTTCATCATAGACTGTAGTTTGTTGAGCTCAACATAAAATACTTCAAGAGGGGGGGAAACAGTAAAGCTTATAACATTATAAAAGTAGACAATAGTGTAACTGTTTGCTACAATACCTCCAAGTATTTAAAAACAAGTGATTGAGGAGTTCC